CCTGACTGCTCGTACACGGATATTCCCTTGGAATTATATTATCACTGACTTTCATTATCAAAGCATTACTATCGATTGAACATGTCAAGCTCGGTTAATGCTTGGGTTTTGTCCTATGATTTGAGCCAGGATTCTGATATCGAGCTTGCTAATAAGCTTTCTTGCGTCCGACCCGAAGCTAGGGAATATCTCCTCAAGTTATTCTCGACCCGAGACTTCAAATCAAATAACCTCAGAGATTTGTATGAAGCGGGTGATTTCTTTTCAGCATGTAGCGATATTATTGATCAAGACGCCGGAGGACCCCGTTTTCGGTGTGCACTTGCGACGTCGACAACAAATGATCTAAGTGCCTGTGGAGCCATATTTGAATGTCGCGATCGATTTGCTGATCACCTCCATCAGCATTTGGACATGAAGCCATACCAATGCGAATGTAACGAAGCACCATGGTTAGCAATTCGTTGCCCTTTCTATACCTAATCTCACTAATCTTTAGTATCCCACCGAAGATTTTTGCCACTCGCACGCTTCTTAGCAACCATTACTATGGCAATAAATCGAAGAAACGGGTAGAGTGTGCATGTCATCAACCTCTGAACTCTAGCTGACTTCACGATACTAGAAAGCGTTTCGTCTCATGAAGGACTCACGATCAGGGGCATCAGAGTCAGGTTCTCAAGAAGATTCAGACAATATACCACCTTCTCATCAAGATACAATGGATGAGGGAGGACGATTAAAGATGTCAGATTCAAGTTCTCAAGAAGACCCGAACGACATATCACTTTCTCATCCAGATACAATAAGTGAGGGAGGAAAGTCTCTGCATTATTATTATAAGGCACGATTTTGACCACTCGTTAGTGACTTTGCGGTCTGTACGATTGTGTGCCCTTAACTTCGACGAAAATCCTATTCTAAGTGACCGTAAGCAATCTTCCACTTTCTACATTGGATTTAGCTGAGGCTATAGAACAGTCCAAATTGATGATAAGGTGCTGTACTCAAACCTTAATCGAGAGATAAATCAACGACTGGGCCAGC